TGCAAATGCAATATGAGGACGTTTATGGGAGAGAGAAATTAGTCTCCTAACTAAGCGTTGGTTCTCTCTTTGTCAATCATTTCTTCTAGACTTGCACGCTAAAGCTTCAGATTTGGTTCTATAGGGGTTTCTGTTGCTTTGCAACCGAGTAAACCTGTTTCTTCTAGTAGATCAAGTACGTTCTTTGAGAGATAAAAATACCTTTCTTGGATATAGCAAACTCCATTCCAAGGAAGTATTTAAGAGGACCAAAGTCTTTGATTTTGAAATCACGAGCTAGGGCTTTCTTCAATCTATCAATCTCAACAATATCATCTCCAATCAAAATTATGTCATCCACGTAAACTATTAATATTGCCATTCTACCTTCTCTTGAGTGTTTTTAGAACATTGTATGATCGGCTTAGCTTTACAAATACTTTTGAAGCTTGATGACTTTTCCGAACCTGTCAAATCAGGCCCTAGGATATTGCTTAAGACCATACAATGACTTTTTTAATAGCCAAACTTTCTTTTCTCCAAAGTTTTCTTCGAAACCTAGTGGTAAGTCCATAAACACTTCTTCCTCCAACTCTCCATTTAAGAAAGTGTTCTTTACATCTAACTGTTGCTAAGGCCAGTTAAGATGTACTGCAAGAGAAAGTAACACTCGAATGGAATTGATTTTTGCAACAGGTGCAAAGGTTTCTTGATAGTCAATTCGATAAGTTTGTGTAAAACCTTTAGCAACAGCCTTGCCTTGTATCTCTCAATGCTCCCATCATACTTACATTTGATTGTAAAAATCCACTTGCACCCTACTATCTTCTTTTTCCTAGGTAGATCAACAATTTCCCAGGTTCTATTTTTTTGAAGTGCTTTTATCTCCTCATACACTGCTCACTTCCACTCCGAGTGTTGTAGTGCTTTCTGTATAGTTCTAGGTACAAATAGATGGGAAACATTTGTTGTGAAGGCTTTGTATTTTTCTGAAAGTCTGTGGTAGGACAGATATTTGGCAATAGGATGTTTGGTACAATTCCTAATTCCTTTATGAATGGTAATAGGAATGTCATGATCAAAGAAAGGTAAAGGAGTAGGATTTTTAGGAAGATTACCTGGAATTGAAGACCTAGGAGATGATGATTGACCATGCTCAGAATTGATTGGAAGATTCTAAATATTGGGATTGAACCTACATATAGTGTAAAGACGTAGCTCAGTGGGCATAGGTGGTAAAGTTTTTCCCCTTTTTGTGATACATTTTTACTTGGCATATATAGCTCAGTATTTTTCTTATTTTCTCTAGGTAAAGTATTCATTTCCTAATTTATTTGAGGGAAAAAAGAAACTAGTTTTGGTTCTTCTTGTTGCCAAAACTAATCATCATTTAGATTCTTCCCCTGAAGAAAGGTTTTAGTATAAAATGGAGTTGTTTCAAGAAATTGAACATCCATACTAATATGAAATTTTTTAGTGTCGGGATTAAAACACTTATAGCCTTTTTTATTAGGAGAGTAGCCTAAAAAATACATTTTTCAGCTCGTAGACAAATTTGGATCGAAGATGGGATGGAACATGAATGAACATCGTACAACCAAAAAGTTTTGAAGGGAGATTATTGATGAGACGTGTGTTTGGAAAAGATTTTTTAAGAGTTCGTAAAGGAGTTTTATAGTTCAAAACCCTAGTGGGCATTCTATTATTCAGATAACAACTTGTTAAGATTGAATTTCCCCAAAGATATTTAGAAACATTCTTATGAAACATAAGAGCGCTAGCAACTTCAAATAAGTATCTATTTTTACGTTCTGCAATTCCATTTTGTTGAGTATCCCTACAAATAGATTGATGAACAATGCCTTTTTCTTGTACAAAAATTTCCTAAACATTCATTAAAAAATTATATTCCATTGTCACTTCGAAGAACACTTATTTTAGTTTGAAATTGGTTTTCGACCAAAGAGTAAAAAATCTTTAAAAAATTTTGCAACTTCATTTTTTGAATTCATTAAATAAAGCCAGCATAGGCGTGTATGAACATCAATGAATGTCACAAACCATTTTTTTCAGGTTGAAGTGGTAATCTTAGAAGGATCCCAAACATCACTATGTATTAGATAAAAATGTTTTGAAGCACAAAAAAGTTTAATTTTATAAAAGTTTCGATGGCTTTTAGCCAGGAAACAAGTTTCACAAACCAAAGAGTTACAATCCACTCCTTTAAATAAATCTAGAAATAAGTACTTTAAATAGGAAAAAATAGGATGTCCTAGTCTATTATGCCATAGTATTATTTGATCATAAACAAGATTTAATTGGATACCACCAATAAAACCCTGAGCTTGTTTATTCCTAACACAGTTGTCATTAAAATAGTAGAGATCTATCATTCTAGTACTGCAAATCATCATCCCCACATTTAAATCCTTAAATTCACAACAAGAGACACCAAAGATAACACGACAGTTAGAATCTTTAGATAAATGACATACTGACAAAAGGTTACAAGAGAGTTTTGAGACATGTAAAACAGATTTCAGAATATTTTTTTCTCATAAACGAATGAAACATGGCCAGCAATGGAAGATAAATTTCCATCTGCAGTACGTACTTTTTTATTTCCAGAAAAGAGTTCATAAGATATAAACAAATGGGATAGATTAGTTATGTGATGAGAGGCACCTGAATCATGATCCAAGATGTAGATAATGAAGAGTAGGCACACAAAGTTCTACTTGTTTGAACCAAGGATGCTACAGGAGTACCGGGAGTCGGTGGAGCAGATTTCAGTAGCTTTAGGAGTTGTTCTATTTGTTCTTCACTGAGAGAGGTGGTCTCACAGTATGTGCTTTGGTTAGGGCATGATTCGAATTAGTTTTATTATTCTTCCACTCTACAGGTTTCCAATTAGCAAGTTTTCCATGCAGTTTCTAGCAAGTTTCGTAAGTATGTCGTGATTTATTGCAAAAATCACACCAAACCTTCGATTCGTCATCTTGACGACGCTAAGTATTAGGGACACACAGGGGTGGATCTAAAATTATTTTTCAGTGGGGAAGAGATGGAAAATTGGCTAAAATAAATTGTGAAAAAACCAAAAAAAAAAAAATCTGAGAATTTAAATTTAATAAGGTCGAATTGAAGGTTTTTGAAAAATCAATGGGGGCGGCTGACCGCCCTCGTACTTAGTGGGTTCACCCCTAGGGGCACGATGGCAGCAACAGCAATCCCCATTAATGTCGAATTTTCCACCAGTCCAGCAATGATTTTCTTGCCAAGCAGGACATTTCTCCTGCTTTCTTCACGTCGAACTTTAGAAAAAAACTTCACCGAGGGAAGGAAGAGGTTTACAACCTCAAATCCTGCCTCCTACTTCATCAAAATTAACATTGAGTCCAGCCAGAAATTTGAAAATTCGTGAGATCTCCTTTTTCTTAAAGTAATTGCAACCATCCATGTTCTTCCACTCATGGTCATCATTGAATAAATCAAGGAAACTTTGAGAATATTAAAATATTTAGTGACGAAATTCTCACCTTGACGGACTTCCCCCAATTTGAGTTGTAACTCATATGTTTGGGATTGATTTCCAAGGACTGAATACATCAAGGTGACATTATCCCACAGGGCTTTAGCAATAGGACAATACATGTGGTTTGCACTTATTTCCTCCTCCATAGAATTCACTAACCAGGCCATTATCATGGAGTTTTCAGCATCCTAAACAGCATGGCCAACATCAGTTTTTCTGGCTCTACAATGTCATCAATTAAGTAACTGATTTCCCCCTTCACTCTAATATATATTCGAACGGATTGGATCCACCTGAGAAAATTGTTCCCATTGAGTCGAATCGTGGTGATTTGGACGGAATGAGAGAGAGGTTCAGTTGGAGGTTTAGAGGAGTTGATATTGGCACCAGTGGTAGGGGTTGATTTAGAGATTTCTGACGTGGTAATGGGTAGGAAGAACCCAAAAAAAAAAAAATAGAGGCCAATTATGTCGGCTTTGATACCATATAGATTGGGTAGAAAAAGAATATTGTATCGAATGAATGGGAAAGTAGTCATAGTCACCCTTTTTTAGATACAATACAGTCAATAAAATAGAAAATAAAGCTACAACTATGTAACTGAAATATACAGCTATACAATACTGATTTTTTGAAAATGAATAGGATCCCTATAATTACGAAATATACAGCCAAGTTTCCCTAAAAATCAGGAAACTGATTTGATTTGGTGTGATTCTCAACAGAAGGGCCTACTTTGTAAATGTAAAAAATGAAGGGCCCAGTCATGGGTCCGCCACTGCATCAAACCTGCGCTAAAACACTTCTTTACCAACCCACTCTGAGTATACTCATTGTGATATCCCGGTGCTCTACATAGTGTTTCACCATGTATTTTGGAGTTATTCCAATTCAATAAACCAACTTTCATAAATTCATAGCTTGTAATAATCTTTGGCTTCCTTTTTTTATTTTTGGTTTTTCTAATCATTGCTGCCTATAGATCCGATAGTCATCAGTTTATGCCCATGAAAGAATCAGATATGAATTTTTTCCAGTTTATGTTTCAAAAAGTCACATTCTTAACCTTTTCAAGCAAGTCAACATAAGAATTATAAAATATTAAGATAGTCAAGCTAAATATTGTTCTCAGGAACATCCTCAGGATGCCACAGCTTCTAAGTTTGACATTTGATTTGTTTAAGCAGCATTTTCCATCATAACAATCCTGACCCAAAGGGAACTTCCTTCATGTTGACACACGTGGAGAGCAAAAGGTAAAGGGAAAAATTAAGGTTATGATAAGATCCTAGCTAATGTGGTTGATAAACTGCAGATTCTGGATGCTAATGCAGAGGATTAGTTGCTGCTACTGCTATTGTTTGTTGCTACTGCTACTGGAAGAAAACCGCTAGACCAACTGGGAAGTGTTATGAAGTAATTTGTCCGGTAAAACACTGAAATTGTAATGTGACTGCAAGATGTCCATGGAGTTACTGGAATAGTATATTGTAAAGATAGATGAATTGTATTGATATTAACTGGAATGAAAGTCATGAAATTAAACATAATCAAAGGCATTCGAGAGGCCTTGATCTCTCCCCCACTTTTTCTAAACAATTCATTGAATCCCCTCTAATTCCCCTCTCCCATCTTATTTATAGAGTTTTCCTCTAACTGACTAATGACCATTCTAGAATAATAAATGACGTGCCAACATCCATGTGAAGTTTACTTCCAAGCATCAAGAAAAACTAGAGCGGCTTCAGGTGAAGTTATGACAATCCAATCAAATGCAGTATCTGCAGCAATAGATAAGCAAGAAAAAATCATAATGTGCATCCATTGTAGAATTTGTGAATTTAAATAGAAGTAACTGTCATGAAACATGTGTAAGAGGGGGAAGGGGGATTGAGAGAGTTTTATTTTCTGTCTGATCACAACATTCATTTCAAAGCAACTAAGAACAAGCATTCAATTTAGCAATTTACTTCCGCGGGAGACTAGATACACAAGATCTGGCATTCACACCAAAGTCAGAAAGATAATAACAACAATGTGCATAGAGAAATTTAATCCATGTGAATTTACAACCTGTGATTGGATAACCTTGGTACCTTGTGCCTCACAGCCCAAAAGGAGGAGCTGTCTCTCTTCACGAATCTAACTGAAATGTGGCCAAGATATTTACTATTTACGGTCAATGAGGAATCAAGTTTGACAACCTGTGCATTAACATCTTATGTGCACCCATATGAATCGTCTTTAAAGATGTAAGATAAAAACAATAATGACACAAAACACAATAGGGATCACAGATTAACTGATGAAGCAAACGTTCTAAACAAACCCTCACAATAAAAATAAAAAAAATTAAAAAAAAAAAAAAAAAAACTGTCTCTGAAATGCACGTAACGTGAACAAATGCATCCAGATAATCTAAAACAATCTCCTATAACCATCAATCATGTCAGAAACTTACCACTCAACACAGAGGGAAGTCTATCAGAATCAGGCAACTTCTTGTGCTGAATGAGAGGAAGCTCAAGACAGTTAATTCCATGTTTTGCCTGTATTACGGTAGAGTAAATTGTAGCACAAGGTTACAGTTAACAATGAAAAGAAGGCAAACACAGGGTGGTAATACACATCAAATCAATAGTAATTTGTATTAGCATCTTGAGAGTATAATAGCATCATCAAAGGATTAACCATGTGAAAAGAATGTGAATCATCATAAAAAGAATTAAAAGACCTGTGGAGCCACTACTAAAGCCCAAGACATGATCTTTACTCAAAAAAGGGGAAAATTACTTTTCAAATCGATTTCTTTCCAGGTCGCAAGTGAAAATTTTGATGAGTCGCGACAAGTTAAAACTCATACATCTTAAATGATATTGTCTCACATTCCCACGGGACCACGAAAAAATGATGTAAATCCTATTAGATTATTATGATTATTTTCCATATTTAGATTCTTATTTTGGGAAAAATTATCAGGGTTTATTTACTGGATTTCCGAGGATTTTATTATATATTTATTTACTAGATTCTCTAGTATTTGATTCATTGTTTCCTATTTAGAATAGGTTTTTCAAAACCCCATATGAAGGAGGTTTGTGCATTGTAATAGATACAAATTTGACATAAAATAAACTTGATATTCACTCCCTAAATTCTCTTTTTCTCTCCCTCTTCTTCTCTTTCTCCTCTCTTTTCTTCTTTCTTTCTCAATATTCTTCTTGTTCATTTTCCTTTTCCCTTTCCCCCCTCTTCTTCCTCTCTCTTAAATCTGCTTCTAATGTCTCTTCTTCACTTTCTACATATCTCCTTCTCTTTCCCCCTCTTCTTCTCTTTTTCCCCCATTTCTCTTATTCTCTACCCTTTTCCCTTCTTCTATAATCCTACTATTTGGTTTTATTGCAGTATACATCAATTTTCCCTTCTTCTATAATTCTACTATTTGGTTTTATTGCAGTATACATCAATTTGATAGCAGAGCAAGTCATTTCCGTTGTACACAAATTTCATGTTGAAATTCAAAATTTACACACACTTCCTTTGCCATCTTCAACCACCCAAAAATCTCCCCAACCACAACTCAAAAGAAGAAAATCAGCCAACTAATTTAGGATTTGACATCAAGCAATCAATTTCATTATTTGGTCAGAAAGAAAGATAGTCCTCTTTGCTTAGAATTGGAGTCGAGTTCTTTCAATTAGGGAGAAATGATAGAAATCCTTTCTTTCTCAATATTCTTCTTATTTGTTTTCCTCTTCCTTTTCTCCCTCTTCTTCCTCTCTCCTAAATTCTGCTTCCGTCTATCTATTGTTGTTCCTTTTCTATCTCTCTCCTTCTAACCAACCCCCTCCCCCCAATTCTTCACTTTTGCCCTCTTCTTTCTATTCACTCCCCCTTCTTCTATAATTCTACTATTTGGTTTTATTGCACTCTATGTCACAAAGTATAGAATCCCAAATAATTCTAGACACCTTAGTGGCACTAAGACATAAATATTGGTTGACTAAAGTATACTTTAGATTTTTAGTCTCATTTGAGACCTATTTTCGACATAGGAAACATTTGATTTGGAAAATGATATCTGAATAAAAGTTGTAGCTCTTTGAGTTAGCTTTCCAACTCACTTTGAATTACCTCAATCGGATATCGGGAGAAAAAGTTATAATAGAAACACTGAAAGCTGTGCAGTGTCAACCGGACTACAACCGGTCGACCGAAACTGCCTGAAATGAAAATTCTCGTTTTTCTCTAGAATTTAAATATTTATTTTCATCAATTATTTTCTCAAAGGGCCACCCACATTTTTTGCAATAAAAACCTCACTAAATTGAAGCATTTAACCTCAAATTTAAATGGCACCCATGTTTTCTCTCTCAAATGAAATTTGACCCTTCATTTGCTTTAAGTTATGGAATATTTACCTATAAATAGAGACCTCATTTCACTCATTTTTTCTCACACCAAAAGCAAGAGCTTTTACAAACAAAAGAAAGAGTTTTCAAGAGAGAAAAAGAGAGAGAGGAAAACTATTTTTCCTAGAAGTTTAAGAAGTGTCTTCAAGCATCAATTCTCAACGATTTTCAAACATCCAAGGAGTGCATTTCTTTCAACATCCAAGTTTCATCGAAGTTTTCAATCCAAGTTTTCAAAGTTTCAAAAGCATCAATCAAGGTAGGTAGAGGTGCAATGTGTTTAATCGTGTTAAGTCATAAGTTTCGATTCATGTTAATGTTTGTATGTTAAATGGTACTCCGGTACGGCATATCCCTCTATGTTAATGATTGTATGTCAAATGGTACTCCGGTACGGCATACCCCTCTATGTTGAAGAAATGTTCGTATGTCAAATGGTGCCCTCGGGTACGGCATACCCCTTCATGTTAAATGGTGCCTCCGAGTACGGCATGTATGAAAAGTTATAAAGTTAATGTTTTGAAATGTATAGCTTGATTACGAATGCACCTATGGCACCTATTGAGTTTTTCAACTCACGGGTTTAATCCCATCTCTACAGATTGAAGGAATTCTACCTTAGGCATGAATGGAGGAGAAGATGGAGAATGATGTAACGAGCCCATGGAAATCCGGTGAATAAGTGATTTAGATTTATTTTTATGAAATGTTTTCCAATGTTATTTCTTTAAAGTTTTGAATAACGTAGAATGCGAGAACAAGTTATGTTTTCTTCAAATAAATTACATTTTGTTATTTTGAAAAATGATTCAGTGTTTTTGTTTAAAGTATTTGCAGTATTGTTATTTAAATTATTATCCGAAGATGTAAGCTTCCACTAAAACGTATACACTTGTTACTAAACCACCGGTTAAGTTAAGTAAAGTAAGTAGCGTTCCGGTCTACTAGGGGTCGGGACGTTACAGCGTGGTATCAAAGCAAGGTTTAGCCTGTTCTGTAGATCAAGTATTTTTTTTTTAAAAAAACAAAAGGAAAATGAAAAGTTTAAGTTAAGGTATTCCATGGCATCGTGCATCCATCCATCAATCTCATCCTATGGCCTAGGTATGTTTATGTTTAAAGTTAATGATTATGTTTATGTTATGATGTTTTGATATGATTTAGAGATGTGTTATTTAAAGATATGTAATGAACTTGGGTAAAAGTTAAGGGTTTAAAGGAAATTGCATGATATGAAAGTTTAAATATTTGCATGTTTTCTTTAAGCAAAAAAAAGTATGATGTATGTGAAAATGCAACAGACATGGCTCGTAGAACGGCTAGGGCATATAGAGAAGCATTGAACTGTAGAATTGCTATCCATTCCTATGAAAACTATGTAACTGATCTGACCTGATCGCTTAGCGAACATGTGTATGACATCCATGAGAGATGCATGAAGACGGTTAATGCTGGTATGGAGATCACACATATTGAGGCCATAAATAACCTCATACACTCCCTCCCACCTCAATGGGGAGATATGGGAGTCACGGTTAGAGATGAAATGTTAGCAAGCAACCCAAACCTATTCGAGTTTGAGAGGTATTGCCATGCCCTGATTGATTTGTGGGATGATGTAACCCACGAGGAGCCTGAGGAGGAAGCTTTGGCCGAGGAAGAAGATCTCGAAGAAGAACTCGAGGATGATTTAGAGAATGATCCTGAGCCTGAGCCACAAGTTGAGATGAACATAGAGCCAAACCTGATGCGGAAGACTCCTCGAAGATGAAGCTCCACCAAAGAAGATCCGTAGAACTTATAGGGATTAGATTTAAATCCTTGTAATAGCTTCCCTTATATCAAGAAATAAAATACTATCTTCTTTGCTTTAGTATTTGAAGAATGAAACTAATAAGAACCATATGCTTTGTCTAAAAGAAATGGCCCGCGCAAACCAAAACTTGATAAGAGACCTCCTCCGAGCGGTTCAAGACCTAGGCAGGCAAAACCCGAACCAAGCTCAACCCCTACCACTAGCTCCTAATGTTCCAAATCATACTTCAGTGGTCAAGCAATTTCGAAGGCACAAGTCCCCTACCTTCAACAAAGCAGCTGATCCACTTGCAACCGAGGAGTGGCTTCACAAGTTGGAGCGTATATTCCGATTGATAGGGTGCACAAACGCTTAGAAAGTTCAGCGTGCTGAGTTCATGTTCTCCGGTAATGCAAGTCACTGGTGGGTCTCAATGTCAAGGACAAGGACCCCTAAGCAATAAGAAGAATTGACTTGGGAGCAATTCAAAGGAGAAGTAATGGACAAGTATTTTCCCCAGTCTTTGAGGGATCACAAAGAAAGTGAATTCCTCCAAATCAAGCAAAAGACTATGTCCCTGACTGAGTATGAGAGGAAGTTTGATCAACTTTCAAAGTATGCTCCACATCTGGTGGATACGGAAGATAAGAAGGTACATTAGAAGTTAGTATTCCTTCGGACAACCCTTTGAATACTGATAGGATAGCCAAGTCAGTAAGTATCAAAGTTGAGGGAAAACTAATGGAAACGAACCTATACATGATAGAAATGAAGGATTTTGATGTAATACTAGGCATGGATTGGTTAGGTTGTAATTACGCCACCATCCGATATAAGGAAATGGAAGTATCATTTTAGAAACCAGGAGAGGAACCATTTTCGTTCCTTGGAATGAAGACGAAACCCCTTATTCGACTAGTATCGGCTTTACAACTTGAGAAGATGTTGAGAAAAGAACACATGTCAAGGATATCTAGTAAGTATCGCAAGAGGGAAACAAGAGACAATAAGGGTTGAAGATGTACCAGTAGTACGGAAATTCGTAGATGTGTTTCTAGAAGATCTATCTGGCATTCAACCCGATAGACAAGTGGAATTCACCATAGACCTAATTCCCGGGGTGGTACCAGTATCTAAGGCCCCATATCGAATGGCCCCAAAGGAGCTACAAGAATTAAAGAAGCAGTTGCAAGAACTCCTAGATATGGGCTTCATAGGACCAAGCGTATCTCCATGGGGTGCGCCAGTGTTGTTTGTAAGGAAGAAAGATGGAAGCATGAGGATGTGCATCGATTAGAGGGAGATAAATCGATTAACCATCAAGAATAAGTACCCACTCCCGAGGATCGAGGATCTGTTAGATCAACTGAAAGGAGCTAAGGTATTTTCCAAGATCGATTTACGATCGGGATACCATCAACTGAAAGTAGAGACAAAGGATATACCTAAGACAACTTTTAGAACTCGATATGGACACTACGAGTTTACGGTGATGCCGTTTGGGCTAACCAATGCACCTGTAGTGTTCATGGACATGACGAATTGAGTGTTTCATCAATACTTGGATAAGTTTGTTATAGTCTTCATCGATGACATTCTGATATATTCCAAGAGTAAGGAGCAACATGAAGAGCACTTGAGAATAGTCTTAGAGGTATTACGCAAGGAGAAGTTGTATGCCAAATTCAAGAAGTGCGAGTTTTGGCTTGAACGAGTTGGATTTCTTGGACATGTAGTTACTGCCCAAGGGATTGAAGTAGATCCAGCAAAAGTAGAAGCAGTAACCAACTGGAAAGCACCAACAAATGTTGGCGAAGTACGGAGTTTTCTAGGATTGGCTGGATTTTATAGGAAATTCATAGAAGGATTTTCCAAAATAGCTGAACCAATGACGCAGCTTACAAGGAAGGGAGTAAAATTTCAATAGACAGAAAAATGCGAACAAAGTTTCCAAGAACTTAAGCAGAAGTTGATATCAACACCTATATTAACAATACCTCAAGATACGAAAGGGT